CCAAATAAATAATGCACATATGCTGGTCAAAGTATTCAACAATTTATGGCCAACCTCAACAGCGAAAGTTGCCATTCTCTGATCGGTTTTCTCACGCCGGAGTATCTTGGATTTCTTAAGTTACAAGTTATTTCCCGATTTACTGGTACGGGTACGTGTATATCACCCGTACCCGTAAAGCGGAATCGGGGTATCTTAACCTCTCTATTTTCTGCAACTGCTCCCGGTTAGATCTAATAAATGTATAAAATCATAAAATTCATACTTCAGTGTATAATTAGACCTTTGTAACAGTGAAACTGAAAAAATGTGACTGAAATTGTGTATACAAATTCCAGTAACATAATAATATTACAAATCATACTGTAAGTTTTCAATGTTGATAAGATACAGTTGTAATGACTATTATTGACTATTATTGAGTTTTGTAAATTATTATGCAATATTTTGTATTTAGAAAGAATCTCCAGAAGAAAAAGCAAACATATTTTCCATGCTCACCTTTTGGTGGATGACACAGTGAGTATCTTGTAACAGTTAAACCTAGAATGAACTTTTTACAATTTTGAGAGATGACAGCTTTAGTATCTGGACAAATAAAATTACAAAACTATCAATCGGAGGTCTAAAGTTAAGTGAAGTCAATAGGTTCTATTAACTCAAACTTTGGAATATTACGTCAAATTTGATGGTTCAACGAGTTTAAAAGTTTAATGCAAAGGTTCTTGTTAGAAAGTTAGTACCATCGTTTAGATGTAAAGATGAACTGTCGTAAACATTGTCTGTTCTCTTAGCATTGAAACTTTCATGTTTGTCAAACCAGGTTGTAATTTGAAATGTAATTTTAACTATATTAATAGCCTCATGTCTGAAACAAGAAACATGTATCTTTGGAAATATAAATATAGACCTTAAATTGTAATTTCAGTTTTATTGGTGGAACGTTTTATAGGATATTGAAGATTCTAACAGATCATAAATCGATCATAGAAATAATACATCTATTATTTAGTAACATATACATACTAGAATTATTTACATTATGTGCAGTACTGTATGCAATAATCAGATTTAGGCGATGATTAGGTTGGGGTTAGATTTTTATTCATAACAAAGATCGACTTTGAAAGAGTTTATTTCGAATTTCTTCTTTAAGCATTCATTTTGTCAGAGGGCATGTACAAAATAACATTGGTGGTATTGGAATTTTACAAATAGTTATTTTCTTGTAGATTGGTATGGTTAGGTTTTCGTCGACCATTAATTTCCAAGGATCTGTGGTGTTTAAAAGGTTCACTTTGGTCTCAGAATATCGGCTCAAAGTTTGATAAATATTGGAAAGAGGAGAAAGAAAGAGTTTTAAGGTGTGTTAATGTAATGCAATTGAATCTTGTAATTATATTGTTTACAGTACAAAAAATTAAAACGCAGATTAAAACAAGTGAAAACATTAGCAGATTATGGGAATATTTGCTCCAGAATACGTTACTTTACATTGTCATTATTAAACTCACTAACCACAAATATGATTTATATGATTTTGATATTGGAAATATGGTTTGGGTCATTCTAAGAAGAAATGCAATATTCAATTATTTATCGTTATCAAAATGTTAATAACATCACAGAGATATATTTAATTTCTTATTTAGAATGACCCAAATATTACACATACCAAATATCATATTTTTAGAGTGGTACGTGCCACTTTAAGGGAATATCCAAGATGGAAAGAAGTGCTGTACTATACCTGTTGAAGAATAGGGCACGTTTTAGCACAATTTTCAATTAATTAACGATATCTCCCACCCCCATTCCTATTCAATGCAGAATGCAACAACGTTAATAGACCTTATGCATGACGTCACAAGGCTTGATGCCTGCGAGGAATGCTGGTCTTAGTAGTCATCGTCCGGGAAAATTTGGATAGTAGCCATTTTGAATTGTTTAATTTCCCCGGGCGATAGCCTAATAACAGACCTACGTTTCACCCGCCCTAAAATTCGTCGACGGAAAGGGCGAAACGTAGGTCTGTTATCAGGCTACCCGGGCGGTGACTACTAAGACCAGCAATCCTCACGGGCATCAAGCCTTGTAACGTCATTATGCATAAGGTCTATTCAGTCAGGCTTGTCTGTTGGTCCAACATTAATTTGGGAGAGGGTTTAACGAACTGTATGTTTACCTTAAACATTCCGCTTTACTAATAAAAAGATATTAAAACAAGAAAAACTACCGTGGTGTCCCAAGGACGTTTAGTTTACCAAGATTGCACCCTCTCTTTATTTCAAATTAAAGGAGATTTTGTTTCAATTATATCACTATTTTTTGTAAAGGATAGCTGTAACTATTTGTTTCAGTATCTATAATTACTTTGCATCGTTCTTTTAGAAAGCTTGAAAGGCACCAATCAGGAAAAATGACCTCTGTAGCAAACGGTAGAACATCTTCGGCCACAGATGAACGACAAAACCTGAACGATGAAGTGAAATATTCCAGTGATGAAAGAAAAGAGTATCATCCGTCATTAATCAAGACTTTATGGAAAGTGTTTGGTCGCTCATTGATACCTGCTTTCTTTTTGAAACTTTGTTGTGATACACTCACGTTTGTTCAACCTCAGTTATTGGGGTAAGATTTCCTTATCGAGTCTAATTTTTATACGTTTTCAGACCCAACCAGGAGCAGCTGCCAAAAATGCAACCATAGGCTCTCTGTCTGGAATTGAACCTGCGCCCCCTGAATGCGCCCCTGCGGTTTCAGAACAGCGCGGAAACTGCTAAAATTTCAAAATTTCGGACAGTTCAGCTCGAGCCACGCCAATTTTTTCCACTGACCACACCCAATGTATTAACTCTCCCGATGTTACCTTTCAACTAACATGGGAGAGTTAAATTTGCCGTAACTCTCTTTGAAAACTGACTTATCTACAGTATCATAATCCCAATCATAACGACAGAGAATCACGAAAATGTTAACGTATTTTTTTACGTTTTGACGGACGAGATTTACGGCAAATTTAACTCTCCCATATTAGTTGAGAGGTAACATCGGGAGAGTTAAGAAAATGGGTGTGGTCGTTGGAAAAAGTGGCCGTGGTTCGAACATCGCTTTCCGAAATCTTAACTCTCCGACTTTACCCTTTCTTTTATAACTCTCCGTTTATAACTCTCCGCACCCGAGCAGTGCTTTTAACCAACTGACAACTGAACTACAGAGTCTAGTTGTTGAGCTTTAACCGCAAGTTCATGTACAGTATATATACTAAGGTGACGCCAATGTAAGGTATATGGTTCTATCGAGTGAGATGCTCAAATCCTGATATTTAGTATTGAAACTCTGTCTATAAATGAGACCGGGACGAATTGTAAGCAGAACGATTTCATTTTGGTCATGCAAACAGATGCCTGTAGTCGTTATTTACCTTAATTTAAATTGTTGAAAGGTTGCTCGCAGAAGACTGACGTAATCACGCTAGAACTGAACTGACCGTTCTCTTGCTGGGAGAAATTGACTTGAGAACTGTTTCCTATTAGGAGGCATCTCTCTGGTCTGAATGTCGTGTCTCTTAAGTGACAATCTCGTGGCCTAACGTTGGCCTAAAGGCTGGTTTGCACAGGTTAATTCTAAATTTTGAAGGATTTGTAAAAGATGCTTGAGGGAACTGATTCAGTGTTAAACAATAACGTTTCTTGCAAATCCTTCACATCGTAGAATTTACCTACGCATTCCTAGTGGGATCACAGAAACTTTGATAGTGTAAACCAGCCTTGACTGAACTGAAACCTGTGCAGGCAAGTCACTGACATTGAAAGTTAATTTCTCAAAATTTCCCTCCCACCCTGGTCCACTCGCTTCACTGAATCATGAATCAGTGATAAAATAAGTCTTACATGCAGTAAGTGTTTTTATATAAAATAATATGTTTTTACATCTTTTTAGTGCCATCATCGAGTTTATTGATGACAGAGACCAACGTGAATTATGGGAAGGTATTTTGTATGCTGGAGGGATGTTTGTAGTGGCACTATTTCAAACGTTGGTTTTACAACAGTATTTTAAAATTGTTATGATCACTGGTCTTAGCATTCGAACTGCTGTACTTGGAATTATCTACAGAAAGGTACGCTTAATTTATTTATCTTTATATGATATTGTGCAGTATCTTTTCACGCTTATCATTCACCCAGTTAATTCACATGCTTTTGTTTCATTCTATATTATCATATGAGTCATCCAAAAATGTGAACTGAGTGGTCACATACGTTGTAGTCACAGCTGAATAGGTGCTACAGTATATACAGGGCCGCCGGGTGGGCAGGGGGCATTGTTCCCCCCAGGCACTAGCTTTTTCTACAGGCATGGGATCTTACTGACTGTATTTTCCCCCAAACCTAAACCTTGACCGGACCTGTATTTGTTATTTTTCATTATAGGCATTGGTGCTATATGATATTGTGCAGTATCTTTTCACGCTTATTATTCACCCAGTTAATTCACATGCTTTTGTTTCATTCTATATTATCAGAGCAGTTGTGACTAGACATATGAGTCATCCAAAAACGTGAACTGAGTGGTCTCATACGTTGTAGTCACAATAGGTGCTACAGTATATATAGGACCGCCGGGTGGGCAGGGGGTATTGTTCCCCAGGCACTAGCTCGAAAAGGGCTCCCAAAGCAAGGAAGGCACTTAAAATTTCCTAGCTTCTTCATTCCCGCATAATACATGCAGTCTGAAATAAAGTGTAACATACAGTATTGTAAAACACCGCTTCTCATGTTTGATAATTATGACGTCACAGGGCCCCCTGGGAAAGATTTGCTCTGGGCTCCATGCAACCTCTAGGCGGTCCTGTAATTCCTTTATAACATTTGTTCATAATTGAAACCGATAATCACAGCCTCAGTTGTAGAAAAACCCAGCTCCTAGGTATACTGGGCCAAGACGATATTTTTCGTGACCAAACTAAAAAATCATCTTGCAAGTAGCCCGCGTGCAGACCCAAGGGAACTGATAGTGGGCCTGCAAGCAAGGCCCGGTATTTTGTACTTTCCGTGTTCGCCCATGAACGCGGCATTCTGATTGGCTGTTTGCTGTTGGATTCTATAATTAGATCAGTGATTCATCACAAAGGCTCTCGATAAGCTTAAAATTCGAAAATTGATCGCTTTTTTCGATTATAAATGGAACAAGAACAGACTGTTTATTGTTTACTTGAAGGAAGAGATGTTTTTGGCGTTATGCCAATGGGGATTGCTTGTCGTGAGGTGTTGGAATAGCAACATTACGACTGGGGTAAACTATAGTAACCTTTACTTGAGTTTCATTAATTTCAAACAGACTTGATATGTTATATGTTCCTCAAGAAAATTATCATTTGGTTGATGTTGACTCTGTTCTTGTACTGAAGAAAACGGCGCTTTTCGCGGTGAAGATTTAAAGGCAGTTGCATGTATTAAAGCCTATTCGAAACACTTTGCGATTTACAAGGCTTCGCTGAGAGAGCGAAACAGAAGACGGTATTAAATTGCCGTTTGAAACGATCTGGACTCTGAACGTTCTCTTCTTTTGTAGAGTTCTTTACCAAATGAAATGACTGAAATAAATTTCGTACTTTCCGCCGCCAACAAGAATTGCACACACGACCTGATAAGTGAGACAATTTATTTATAACAATGGCGACAGCGAAACACACATTATAAATGCCAAATGTAGTCGCACGACTTCCCTCACAATTTGAAGTTTGAGACTGGTTTTCTGTTGAAATTCGTCCTAATTTGCCTGTTCCGATTTTAGTTGAAAATGAGTACTTGCAAATTTGGCAATTACTGACTGCGTTGCTTGCTTTTTTGGAGTTAAAACGCTGCCATTTACATATTGTTTATGTTCTGAATAAGCAGAGAAAACCCCGCAACATTTTAATGCGAGTTTGTTTGTTAATATTTGGATTGCTGTCATTGGTTCTTTTTTGACAATTGACGCGCGAATGGGGCGTGTTATGAAAAGGGGCGTTTTACAAAATACCGCGGGCCTTGCTTGCAGGACCACTATCAGTTCCCTTGGGCCTGCACGCAGGCTATCTTGCAAGTTGTAAGCAAAATGTTTGTCAGTTAAACAGGCTTTTCCAGCCACTGTACAGCACTGAAGATCCAAACTGAAATTTATATTTGCCAAGACGAAAATTTTCCTTTTCTACAGGCATGGGATCTGACTGACTGTATTTTCCCCAAAACCTAAACCTTGACCAGATCTGTATTTGTTATTTTTCATTATAGGCATTGGTGCTAAGCACTGTTTCAAGGAATCAATCAACAGTTGGCGAGATGGTCAATCTCATGTCTGTTGATGCTCAACGTTTAATGGACATTCTCACATATATTAATATGCTGTGGTCAGCACCATATCAAATCTCGTTAGCAATCTTCTTTCTTTATCGTACTATGGGAATATCTGTCCTTGCTGGCGTGGCAGTTATGTTGGTGCTTTTCCCAATTAATTTCTTTATTGGACGACGGATGCGAAAGTTTCAGGTACAGTGTATACTATGTATCAGTTATTACCTGCGATCAGGCCTTTATTTTTCTCGCGGTGGGAAGCCGCGCGGACAAAGAAAAATGAAGGCCTGATGTAAATGTTATTAAAAGTTCGTGTCCTATAATCCCTTGTACGATTGTAGCTCTGATTGGCTGTTACTAGCATGAGTACCACGCTATATTTAATGCATCGTTAAGTTTTGATTGGTTA